TGTGAATAAGGAAACAGAAACAGCAACAATAAGAACAACCGCATCTACAGCAACAGCAACAAGCAGCAGCAGTAGCAACAGCAACAGCAACGGCAGCAACAACAACTACGACACCAGCAACAGCAGCAGCAACAACAATCGCAACAGCAACAGTAACGGCAACGCAGCAGCAACACCAAGAACACCAACAAAACCACCACCAACAACAACAAGACAACACAACGAAGTAGCTAGTCATAACATTCAGGACAACCTGCAATCCGCCACCATACCGTAGTCACGGATTGGAGTAGCCTCAGGTCCCCTCTGGCTCTCCGTTTTGGACGTCACGGGCTCTCCCGGGGATTTCGTGGCACCCTTCTGATTCCACGCAGAACTTTCCCAGCGGCCTCGGGTGCGCGGCTTGGAATCCACACTTCCAGCATGGCCCAGGATGGTCCCAAGGCCCGCCCTGGAGCCGTCTTGGGGGCCACTTTGGCCGTCTTCAGGGCCCTGGGGGAAGGCCCAAGAGGCCCGAATCACTGAAAGACCAGTTCGGCTTTGGTGTGGTCTTCGCATGCTCGCTTCCTCGGCGCAAAAAATGTGCAAGAAGAGACCCCCAAGATCGCCCCAGGGCGGCAGCGGAGATCCACAAGAATCCTCCTCCTCCTCCTCCTCCTCCTCCGCCTCCTCCTGCTCCTCCTCCTCCTCCTCCTCGCTACTTCGGCGCGAAGAATGTGCACGAAGAGGCCCCCAAGATCGCCCCAAGGCGGCCCCGAGAATCCTGCTCGTCCTCCTCCTCCTCCTCCTCCTCCTTTTCCTCCCCATCTTCTTCCTCCTCCTCCTCCTACTCCTCCTCTTCCTCCTCCTCCTCATTATTTTCCTCCTCCTCTTTATTTTCCTCCTCCTCCTCTTCCTTTCCTTTCCTTAAATATGATTCCCCCCTGTCGCACCCTGAGGCCGGTCGAAGGGGCGGGCAGGACGATTCGCATGAAACTTCCTCACCATGTATGATCCTGACGCTGAAAAATTGGAAGAAGCTTCACAGATGGAGGGCGGGTCGCTGTCGAAGTGCGGCTCTCGCTTTAGCGCCGCGCATAATCGTTTGACACATTTGCCAGAAGTTCACGGTGTGATGGTGGGTTGCTTTCTAAATGTGGTTATCGCCTTAGCGCCGCGCACAGTCGCTTAACCATCTGCAACAGCTTCACGGATTGAGGGCAGGTTGCTTTCAAATTTCGACTTGAAAAGGGTTGCAAGAGCTTCACGGATTGAAGATGGGTGGTTATGTGGTTCTCGCCGTTGCGCTGCGCACATTCGTTTTAGCCACTTACGGGAAATTCACAGATGCCCGTGGTTAACGTACCAGAGACGGTATTTTGGAACGACTTAGGATCGTTAGGGCGCAACGATTACGTTGATTCGCGGTGTTGGAGTCCCAAGAACGGTGCTCTGGCACGACTTCGGATCGCCAAGACCTTGTGGCATCGAAGTCCTGAGAATGGTGTTTGGTACGCTTCAGGAGTTGCACACAGATGTCCCCCAACGGGGACATTCCCTCAGTGGAAATGAACGTTGTAGGGGCCAGTGAAGAGGGAGCTTTAAAGCGAGGGTGGATTCCAACAGCGTTAATGGGTCTTGGGTCTACATTGGTCCTCCTCCTCTTCCTCCTCCTCCTCCTCGTCCTTGTCCTCCTCCTCCTTCTTCTCTTCCTCCAGCTCCTCCTCCTCCCCCTCGTCCTCCTCTCCCCCCTCTCCGTAGCCACTTTGGCTCAAGATATTTGCTCCGATAGGGGCACCGCGCCTCCGCGCCAGAACGGATACTGCTGGTCCACGGCACTCTTTCCACCCGTTCATCCACCAGCGTCAGGGGGCTCAGCAGCCCCAGGTGGGAACCCTCTGCGACTGCAGGCGCGGCGAGCCCCACATCCCTCTTCTCTTGCTATCAAGGATAGCACCCCTTCCCAAGACATGGAATTGCAAAACCTGTCTCCATCCCGAAGTCGGGAAAGCCGTTCCTCGCTTCTGCTAAGAACAAGAAGTGTTTCACTTGCGACCTGACAAGAGGGTGCGCTTCGGTTCCCACCCGGCTCCTGCCTCGGGCGGCGGCATCGCGTTTGTCAAGCTCGTGGGCGGCAGCTTCGTGACGATCACGCTCGTGAGCGGCAGCTCTGTGGCGCAAACGCGCGTGTGCGACGACTTCGTATGCATCAGCTTCGTAGCCTTCACGCCTGTGGGCGGCAGGGCAGCTTCGTTGCGCTCCGATCGTGGGCGACAGCTTGGGGTGTTCGCGGTCGCGGGCGGCAGCTTCGGGATGTTCACACTCGGGGACCACTGATTTGTGGTGCTTAAGCTCGTAGGCGGCAGCTTCGCGATGTTAACGCTCGTGGGCAGCAGCTGCGTGATGTTCACGCTCGTGGGCCGCAGCTTCGTTGCGTTCACACTCGAGGGCGGAAGCTTCGTGGTGTTGACAATCGTGTGCGGTAGCTTCGCGGCCTTCACGCTCGTGGGTTGCAGCTTCGTAGTGCTTGTGCCCGCGCTCGCGGGTCGCAGCTTGGTGGAGTCCGCGTTCTTAGGCGGCGATTTCGTGGGCTTGTGCCCACGTAGACGTTTACTGTATGTCGACAGCAATGCGACCAAAAATCATCATCATCATCATCATCATCATCATCATCATCATCATCATCATCATCATCATCAGCATCATCATCAGCATCATCATCATCACCATCATCATCATCATAATTAGCATCATCGTCATCACCACCATCATCATCAGCAGCAGCAGCAGCAACAGCATCATCATCATCACCACCACAATCATCACCACCACCACGATCATCTTCATCATCACCACCAACATCACCACCACCACCACGATCAGCGTCATCATCATTTGTTCCTTCCCTCCCTCCTCCCTCCTTCCCCTCCCCCCTCCTTCCTCCTGCTACTTCCCTCAACGCCTCCTTTTCACCACCCCCTGCGGAGCCCCCGCCTGGCGACACCGCCCGTCGGGCGGCTTGGCAGCCGTCCTGCTGCACCGGAGCGCCGCGCCAGGCAGCGCGGCCGCGAGCAAGCGCCCCAGCGCCGGGTCCTCTCGGCCGCGCGCAGGACCCAGACCACCGACGAGCGACGGCGGCGACGAACGACGTCAAGCGACGACGAACGACGGCGACATCGGCAGCGACGAACGGCGGCGGCGACATCGACAACGGCGGCGGCGACAGTGGCGACGAAGGACGGCGACGGCGGCGGCGACGGACAACAGGCGGCGACACCGGCTGCGGCGGCGAGGGCGGACGAGGGCGTTGACGAAAACGGCGACCACGGCGTTTTCTTCGATTTCGACCTCTGGGGCAGGGCCCCAAGGCCATCAAAAACGAATCCGTGACGAAACTACCCCCGTGGAAGGGGCCGGGTCTTTCGGGTCCGAGCATTGAAGGAAGCGCATCGAAGAATGGCCATTCAGCCACACGCAAGACCGCAACGCGCATCTCGAGAGGATTAATGGCCAGCAAGAACCCGCCTCGGCCAGGCCAAATTATCGTATCCTTTTGTTGCTGCGGTTCCTTATGCATTTCTCTATCTCTCTCTCTCTCTCTCTCTCATTCTCTCTCCCTCTCTCCATCCTTCCTCCCTCCTCGAACATCCAGGATCTCGAAGGGTCAAAGCGGGGCCAGACGCAAAAGTGGCCCTACGGAGTCAAAATAAAGCAAAAGCACCGAAATCAGTCACGGGATCGTACCAATTGTCGCATACATCAGAGTTTTCACCGTTCGAGCGCAGACTCTACAAAGCAGTGGCTGGCCACTGGGCACGAATGTAAACCCCAGCGCAAGGTCATGGCGCCTTGTCTGCAGATAAGACACGTGTGACGGGTCGGCACAAGCCCAGACATTCACCGTCGATCCCAAACAAAGCATGTCTTATATAGTCATGCGCATATTCAAAGTTTTATGTATGCGTACATGCTTACAGACATATACCGTTTGTGCATGTACAGAGACATAACAAACAGGAAGAAAAAACTATAACCAAAATGAGTAAACGCATACACATATGTACTCTTTTTGTTTATTCAAGCTCCTGGCCTCCAGGGCTGTGAGAAAACAACTCGGCAGGTCGAAAAGACTTCGTGATTTACGTGGGGGGCATCTGAAAATTACCTGGGACGTTCCCAACCCTTTCTAGACGCATGGCGACTACCACTAGAACCACTCGGTTCCACAAAATATTGGAAGATCTGCGGCTTGAACGCTTTGCCAAACAGCGTCGGACCACACTCAAACTTCCCCATTCAGAGGCGCACACCTGCAACTCAGACCGCAAATTAGAAGATAACGCTGACGCGAGTAAAAACAGGAAGACGCGGGCAGAAATATGAGGTGGAGGAGGGAGAAGGGGAAGCAAGACTGGTGAAAGTAACAGCGCCGTGCGCTACAACTGCTTGGATCACTCCTGAAATACGCGCTGCTGCGCTTTCCTGACCCGGGCAACTCGCCCGAGTCTGCCGCGGCCGACAAGCAGCTGGTGACGGAGGGGCCAGGGAATGGGCCGCCAAAGACAGTGCCATTCACCACGTGACGCCCCAGTGCTCTGCGCTCTGTGACGTAACAGCGCCGCGCGCCATATGAGCGACAGTTACGCAATTGCCCCCCCCCAGGGAGCAGCGAGGTTCCGTCTAGATCTGCGTACACCCCTACTTCTTCAGACCTCCCGGAGCCCACGAAAGTAGCAACAATTGCGCAGTTGGCAGCCACCAAAGCGATGCGAGGCCTCGTCTAGATCCGCGTACACCTCCGCTCCGCTGGAGCTTCCAGGGGCCCACGAAATGGGAAACAATCGCGCGGCTGGCAGCCCCCCAGGAAACCGCGAGGTCTCGCCGCGAGGTCTCATCTGGATATGCGTACACTCCCATTCCGCTGGGCCTCCTGGAGGCCCACGAAAGTGGCGACAGTTGCGCACGTGGCAGCTCCCCAGGAAGCTACGAGCTGCGAGGAACCGTCGTCATCGGCGCACGCC